TCAGGATTGCCAGACATGGGTCTCGGTTTCGAACGCGCTGTCCCTGACATTCTGCAACGCCCACCTCAATCCCTCAAGACAGGTATCTTCACCTTGGAGTTCCTTGTCGACATGGTCGTTTATGGTCTCTGGATCACTCTTCTCTGCTTGGCCAGTTTCGTCCTCGTCGTCTTTGGTTTCGGTGATGGTGAACTTGGTACGGGTTGTAACGAGACATACTCCGAACAGTGTGAGTTGGTGTTCCGCGCCCGCGCTTGCACATTCGCCTGTTTGACATGGTTCGCTCTCTTCCTCGCCTGGGAGATGATTGATATGCGTCGCTCTTTCTTCCGCATGCAGCCTGGCAGTAAGCGCTACTTCACCCAGTGGATGTTTGATGTATGGAGGAACCAGTTCCTCTTCTGGGCCATCATGGTTGGTTTTGTTCTCCTGTTCCCGCTCATCTACATCCCCACGCTCAACACAGTCGTGTTCAAGCATGCGCCTATCGACTGGGAATGGGGTATCGTTTTCATCGAGACCGGCATCTTCTTTGCGGGTATTGAGTTCTGGAAGTGGTGCAAGCGCGTCTACTTCCGCCGCAAGGGAGCCAAGCACGGTACCGGAAAGGTTGACAAGAACATGGAGATTGAGGACCGTGTCTTTGGTCGTTACTATAGCCGCGACTCATCCACTACTGGCAACGAGAGCGTGCAGGAGAAGGCTTAAGCGTTCAGTCTGAGATATTGTAAAGAGACAAGGCTGCAGATGCGTTCCACCAGCAGAACACCTGCCCAGCACAAAAGTTAGTTACCTTAGTATATAGAATGATTAGAAATGACCACGACAACGTAGCTTGCGTTAAACAATAAAATGATATCATATCAAACTCCTGCCTTTTTGTTTTCTATACTTGTATCACATTGCAACTCTTTCACGCTCAAAGTCGACAGTATGTAGCGATCCTCAGTCGCCCGTGCTCTGGGACCCATCCATTACACTAGCCGATTTGGGCGACACGTAGAACGAATGGACTCGGGTTGAGGTGGAAATTTGAATTCAGTGACAACGGCTTGGAGATACACAGATGGGGGAAGTTGGTGCTCTTGAGCCCTTCTTTCGTGAGGCGCAGCAGCCAAAGGTAGACTGCGGCATTTTGTTGGCGTGACGGTAGTGGTTGCGGCATTTACTTACCACCAGGCCTATATGAGATGAGATCGTCAAGAACACCATGTCTACGCAAGGAATCATTAGAGCAGCGTTATGGAAAATTATGGTTGATGCAATATGTGAGCGAACCTCCAGTTGAGCTACTGGGGAAGTGCAAATTACGTGGTGAGGATGCGAGAAGGAACGCGATTTATGTACGTCAAGTGAAAGCCTATCAAAGGAGCTTTGAGATCTTCGCGCTACTGTGAGAGATGGACATGGATGAGACGCTCGTCTAAACATTGGTGTTTATGGAACAGTATTCATGGTCAAAGTGTAGTGGGGATGGCTACCTTTTTTAAGCACTTCTCGCCCGAGGTACATAATGACACAGATCGCGGTATTTGAAAGGGTACTTGATTGTCTTCTATACGACCAATCGTCCTGGCTCAACCTCGAGGACGGTCTTGACGCGCTCAAGGAAGACGCGGCCGCGCTTCTCGTCGCCTTTGGGCACGCTTACGCTGAAGACATTCAGGGGTCCAGCAACGCCTGCTGCGCCGGTGACGGATTTCCTGGTGGAAGCCTTCTTGCCAGCCAGCATGTCAAGGATATCGGACTTTGATGCTGGGGCACGCTTGCTAGGAATAGCAGTTGGGGGCAGCGCAGTCACTTGTGGGACGAAGTTTCCATGCGAGTACTTTCCGGCTACCTTGTCTAGGCCAAGGACTGCATTGAACAGCTCGTCGGCAGATTGCTTCGCGACTTTGGATCGCGGGAGGTCTTCGTTCGCAAGCTCGGCAGCACGCGCAACAAAAGTGGATAGCGGTAGGAAGACGCCTATCGAGTCCTTGACGCGCTTCTGGCACTCGATGACTGCGGTGAGAGAGACGGGCAATGCCACCTCAATCGGGAGGTCCTCAACAAGTGCAGGCGCTTCAGCTGCAGTCTTCTTAGGCGCCTCCTTCTTTGCCATGACCTTGATGTTGGAAAGATCGAGGTGGGAAAGCTTGGTGAAGCGGCTCGCAAGCTCTGAGGGGTATGCGTTCTCGATGTGACCAATGTATGCAAGTACATCTCCCTTGAGTAACCTGCCACCAGGCCCAGTCGCAGGGATCTTGTCAGCCTCCTCCTTGGGCAGCCCGTTCAGTGTCAGCAACTGCTGTACAGAGGGGTACAACGGATAAGTTTGCTTGGAGGCCTTGCCGCTCGAGGCTTTCTTGGAAGCATCGGACTTTGCAGGCGGGGCAGAGGTTCGCTCCTCCTTTGGTACGGGTGCGGGCTCCTTGTTGGACTCTTTGGGCGCTTCAGCCTCCTTCTTGGGTGCAGGGCTGTCTTGGGCGGGTATCTCGAGGGTGCTCAAGTCGTCGCCGGGCTCTGCAGTGACTGCTATCCGTGTGCCGACCTGGACTGCTTTGGAACCGTCCTGGACCTACGGCCTCGATTAGCCACGAACTGAAGCAATGCGTCTTTGCCACGTACCGTGATCTTTGCTAGTATGCCGTCATCCTGCGCCTCCACGTCCATCTGCGCCTTGTCCGTCTCGATCTCGAGGAGCACGTCGCCGGCGGAGAAAGAGTCTCCCTCCTTGATCTTCCAGCTCGCGATGTTGCCCTCGGTCATGGTCGGTGATAGTGCAGGCATGTTGAAGTTTTGCGCGGCGAGCGCGGCCTGGCTCGAGTGAAGTCCTGCCCGTCGTGTCAGTATATTTGTGCATTCCCCGGTATTTTGGCGTGTCTTTTGTACCTCTGCGGGCGCCATGGCTGCGCAACTGCTGCGAGGCAGCCCGCGCTGAGACCCTACATACCGTGGCGAGCGAAGCCATGTGGAATCAATCGGCCGACTGAGACAATGGCAGTGGGAGGATTGTTTGGCGACGGGGCTGATCTGCTGGCGGAAATGTTGGGCGGAACAAGCTTCGGAGGTGTCTGGCGGGACGCGCTTGGGCCCGCTTTCTAGTTGGACTTTTTCCCGATATATCGCTACTCCATCCACGCTCATAGCCGTACATCGAGTATCCCATACTAATACAGACACCATGCCCGCCTTTTCCCGGGGCTTCGACGCCTTCATGCGCCAGAATTCCTTCCGCCTCCCCTCATCTCTCCGCGCAGCCCTCTTCGGAACACGAGAATCCTTCTTCACACCCACCACGCTTCGCCAGAATCGCTCCTTCACCTCGTCCGTACTTCGACGCTACCAATATCACAAGAGCACTGTTGTCACACCAAAAGCCGGTGGATTTGTAAGCAACGACCCCGTTCTACGCCGAGTAGTCCAAACCCGTCAGCCTATCCTACTATACCAAGCGCCTAAGAACAAATGGTACTATCTCAAGGTATACGGAACGGGGGCATTATGGATAGGAGTTGGGGCATATTCCATCAAATTCAATGACGACATCAAAGACAAGGGATTGTCCTTCTTCGTACGACCAACGTATATCGTGATAGGAGTGGCCTTCGTCATCATCGGCTGCTATACCTGTACAGCGCCTAGCAATCGCATGCGAGCGTTGGAAGTACTCCCAAGTTTGCAGGGCGGGCCCATGCAATTGCGCATGACTGTCAAGCCAGTGCCGTGGCTGAAAGAGCGCGTCATATACTCAAATCTGGGAGCAGTGACGATAAGTGAGAAAACGGAACCCATGGTGCAAGAGTTGCTTGAGGCAGAACGTTTCAGGAAGCAAAGACTATGGGACGACTTGGGACATATGAACATTGCGGCCCGTGTCTGGGAAGGATCTGCGCGCTGGGTGCATCAGAAGTGGACAAACTTCTTCTTGAAGTTTAAATTCGCAGTACTGAGGTTCGGTATCGCCAAGGTCAAAGTAGAGGGAGACGAGTGGAAGATTGACTGCTCGGGCTACTTGTTGGAGAACGGCAGAGGTACGACTTCATCATCATTGTTCTCGGAGTAATTCTAACGAGATATAGCGGTCGACCGAATCATTCCCGAAGAGTAGGAAAACCTTGCGTATTTTTCTGGGAGTGATCTTACGAAGCACTTTGAAAAGTTGCCACCTATTTACGACGACGAACGGCCCACCGGGATAGTGAAAGCACTTGTCGTACAACCGGTAACAAATTTTGCAGGCATTGCAAGTCACGTTAGTCCACAAACTGACCACATAGGAGCTGTTGCGCTCCCTGGAGGTAGGCGATCCACTTGTATATTAAACAGCAGACAGCTGCAAATTTATGTAAGATACGACCCCAGCCCTAGCAACGGCATGGTATTGCCGAAAACACCTATGCAACGAACACTCTGATGCAAAGCTGGCGAATGCAGTTCCAGCCTCATATGCTTTATGTCTATCCTGAAAGCAGTCGTCTTGCCTTTGGTGAGAGATGCAGGGAACTTGAGCAATCCACTACTCAAATCGCGAGCGATCACACTTACACTGTCACTTCCTTTCGTCCATTTGTCACGGTCGGTTCCACAGCCATGCCTGTAAGTACCAGGTCTGTGCTTGCAAGCAAGGCTGAATCGGTTGCAATGACAGCCAACGCTGCATACGGCATGACTTCGTAGGCGAGCTGAGCATATATAGCATAAGCAAAACCGCCTATTGTGGATACTACTACTGTCGATCTCATTCTTGTAGGTTCTATGTGGTAGGATAAAAGTTGTTTCCAAAAGTGTCTGAACAACAAAATGACGATTTAGAGCTCGTTCAAATCTAAGGGTAGAGTTTGCGTCTTACGATGCGGACTCTCGAACTCAGGAACGGCGAGCTCCGCCGACAAAAAAAACATTCTTGCCATCCTATTTATACTCGGAACTGCAAAGTGCAGCATAAAATGTTACTATGTAGTACCAATCATATACATCTCTTCGTAACGTTTGTCGCACTATACACACTACCATAATCACAACGCTATCCAGTACGCCACACCCTCAGTCCCCTTGTAGAATTGCGTGAAAGCGCCGACCGTCGAACTGCGCCATTTGTCAACAGCCATTCCAGAGTTCATTGTTGGCCAGAAGAGACAACTTACCCTCTCATCTGCTCCTTATCCTTTGCTTTTTGCCAATCTTTCCAGCGTTCCTTCTCACTAAGATTTGCATCACGCCATCTTTCTTTGCCCGTTTCTGCGGATTTCGATCGCCGTGAACTGGAGTGCGAGGAAGAGCCATGAATATGGAGTTTTGATCGCCAGGATGTTGCAGAGGATGGACGTTCTGGTAAAGGGGATGGAGGCTTGAGGGTCGTTGACGATGTTGTGGTAGTGGACACACTATCCACGTTTACAAGAGGAGTCGTGGACTTTTTTATCCAAGCAGAAGGCTTGGAGTTTGTTGTTTTGTATGGATCAGTCATGGCTGTGATGATTTGTGCAGATATGGATGCGCAACTACGGAGTTGTAGACGAAGATGTTCACGGCAGCGTAGAAGGTGCGCAAGATGAGAAGATACAAGGCGTGTCAGTAGTTTGGAGCAGTCAGTATTAACCTCATGTAGATCAAGGTGCAAGCATGTTGTGTTGAGAGTTGGGCGTGGCTGTGAAGTCGTATAGCATGACGGGCGCAAGGCGTCCACTGGGCTGAGCTTGCTAGCATTTATCCGGTATTGTGGCGCAATCGCCCAGGCGTGGCGTTGCACATAGCTACGTGGAGCCAAGCAGATATTTGCAGTAGAGATGTCCAATTAAACATGCTTTAAGTTGCTAGCTCTACGTCGTCAAGGTTCTTCCGTATGAACTTTGTTACAGCATCCAGTCCGTTCTGAACAACGTCTGTCTGGTTAACATAGCCAATCCTGACATAGCCCTTGAACTCTTCGCCGAAACAGGTACTGCCAGGTACGAACATGACGCCCGTCGCTTCCAGCAGCTTTTTGCAAAAGTCGACTGAGTCGACGGGCTTTCCCTCCCTGTGAAACTTGACGAAAGCTGTAGTGCCAGCAACGGGCCTGACCCATTCACACTCGTCTTCGTTTTTGAGTTGAAACTTTTCCAGAATGGCCATGTTTTTCCTCGCGAGTTCGAGGTTGCGGGCTAGCAGCTGGTGCACTGTTGCCGAGTGTAGCGCATATGCTGCGATGCATTCATCGAAGTAGGAGACAGAGATGGTGGTGTAATGACGCGCTGAAGCGATTCTCTCAATGATCTCAGAGCTACGAGAAGCTATCCATCCTATGCGAATACCGGCAAGTGAATAGGCCTTTGACATGGAGCCCGTGACGATGACGTTGTCGTAGCCCATGGATAGGAGAGACGGTGGAAACTCCTTGTCCAATGGACTGATGGAATGGAACAGTGGCCGATAGACCTCATCACTCATGATAGTAATATTCTTTTCAGAAGCAATGTCGATGAGTTCTTGTAGGAAAGTCTTGCCTAGGATGGCACCAGTAGGGTTGTTGGGGTTGTTGATGACGATGAGCCTGGTGTTGGGCTTGATGAGCGACTTGAGGTCGTCGATTTTAGGTACCCATTTGTTCTCGGGTGTAGCTTTCCACAAGTCGACTTCAGCGCCCAATTGCTTAGGGACCTCGTAGAGAGATTGGTAGGTGGGGTAGTGGCAGATGACATGGTCTCCAGGGCCGGCGAGAGCGTATGCAGTCAGATAATTTGCTTGAATGGCACCAGGAGTGATAAGGATGCTGTCTGGGGAGAGTGGGTTTGTGACTTTTGCAGAATACAGCCGGGCGAGGTTGTTGCGTAGCTCGTCACTTCCTCTAATGGTACCGTATGTGAGGACACGCGAGGTATCGAAAACTGGTCGGTTTTTGTCCTCGGACAGCTCGCGTAGCTGATCGACGGAGATTGAAGCACAACATGTTTCGGCGACGTTGTACTTGCACTTTGTCTCGTATGCGTCCATCCACTGGGGACGTTAGTTTATATATTCCCCACGTGGAGGAGATGCGGGGATGAACCTACGGACTCGACGGCGAAGTCGTCGATTTTGACCATGTTGACGGATGAGAGGGTTGGTCAGTTGTTACAATGAGAAGGAAAACACACAAAGGCGACTTGTTCAGCCTGGAAGTTTAAAATGTCAACTTTGGGATTGACATAGGGCGCACATGGCCTCGAGATGGCTCCGCTGGAGTGGGCGAGCTAGCAGCTAGAGGGCTCCGGCGGCCAGGTATGCCCGAGAAATGCGGCGGCTCTACAGGTGTCGCGCGGTCACGTTGATGACGTCGCTAGAGACGAAGGCTGAGGCTGCTAGTGGCGTGATGCGCGTAGGCATGATTTGTCTTGTGCATGTTGCAAGTCAGATATCGATGACGAAGACCATGGTGTCGACGGGTGCCTGTTTGGCTTGTGCCTCGGTCTAACGGTCCGCCATGATGCTTGGCTGGAGACAGGCCAGCGTCGACGAATCATGGCCGGGCAAGGCCGATGATAGCAGCCCTCATCTGGCCACCATCGCCGCGTCGTGTCCCTCGTCACTATCACGAGCTGCCTAGCTCTGTTGCCGTTCCTTTGACAGCTGCTCCCTGCCATCGCGTTACTGCTGCCATACAACGAGACACGCGACGTGTCATCGCAGCTATCTAGCATAGCTTGCCTCGCGCCGCAGACACACCAAGATGCGCCAACGAGCGTGGGCGACGTCGCTCGCCACCATGATGGGCCTGGCATCGACAGGAGGCGCCTACAAGACGTTCGCAAACTATTCCATGGCCGAATCGCCCCACCATCTCTTCTCCATCTACGGCGACAGACCCGACGGCTGTCCCCCGTGCTTCAACTGCAACCTCGAAGACTTCAAGTGCAAGCAGTTTGCTGACTGCAGCAAGGCCAATGGACGATGCAACTGCGGCCCGGGATTCGGGGGCGAGGACTGTTCAGAACCCCTTTGCGGCGCGCTGCCCGATGGCAAGAACCGCTCACCACGAGGAGGCGCAAAGCAGTGTGAATGCTCAGAGGGCTGGTCAGGCATCAACTGCAATGTCTGCCAGACCAACAATGCCTGCAACGCCATGATGCCGGACGGCGAAGGCGGAGTCTGTTACAAGGACGGCCAACTGGTCAAGGAGAACTTCCAGATCTGCGACATCACCAACCGGAAGATCCTCGACACACTCAAGGACAAGAAACCCCAGGCGACCTTCTCTTGCAACGCCGAGTCAGAGGAATGCAATTTCCAGTGTAAGCTTCACACCCACCCTCTCATCCATAGCTGACCATGGCAGTCTGGGTCGACCAGAGGGAATCCTTCTACTGCGCCCTCGACACGTGCTCCTCCCAATTCACCGCCGAATCCGATCGCAACGTCACCAAATATCGATGCGAAAACATAAAGTGTGAATGTGTGCCCGACAGGATGCTTTGCGGAGAGGACGGCTCCGTCGACATTGGTGACTTCTTGAAGGAGTCGATCAAGGGACCTGCTGAGTTCAGAGGCATCTCAGCCATCAACAGCAAAGATAGCGGAAGCGTCTTCTCCGAGCCTGCCATGAACGACCTCATCTCGAGCGTCTTCGGCGACGAGAGTATCTTCCTACAATGCGACACGGGCGAGTGTTTGTACCAGACCGAGGTACCGGGCTACGAGAGGCCCATCAAGAAGATCAACACGCCCCTGATTGCTGGTGTCATCGCTGGTTGCGCCCTGTTCATCGTGGCTGCCATCCTGGCTGTCTGGTATCTCACGCACCGTGCCGAGAGTAAGCGATACGGTCCCATCCATCTGTCGGACGATGAGGAGGACGAGGATGCGAAACTGCTAGCAGACCACAAGCCAGCTGCTTTCCTCTTTGAAAACGTCGCATACAACCTCAACGGAAAGCAGATTCTCTCCGGCATCTCTGGCGCAGTCCACCCCGGAGAGCTCCTGGCTATCATGGGTGCTTCAGGTGCTGGAAAGACTACCTTCCTCGACATTTTAGCTCGCAAGAAGAAGATCGGAACCGACAGTGGCGATTTCTACGTCAACGGTGAGAAGGTCCGCGATGACGAATTCAGAAGCGTCATTGGTTTCGTCGACCAGGAGGACACTCTTCTACCAACCCTGACTGTTCACGAGACGATTCTTGACTCTGCTCTGTTGCGCCTGCCTAAAGAGATGAGTCGCACTTCCAAGGAGCAAAAGGTTGAGGATGTCGAGCGTCAACTCGGTATCTACCACATTCGCAACCAGAAGATTGGCTCTGAGGAGAGTGGTCGTGGCATTTCTGGTGGAGAGAAGCGTCGTGTCGGTATTGCCTGTGAACTCGTCACATCGCCCAGCATCCTCTTTCTCGACGAACCCACGAGCGGACTCGACGCATACAATGCTTTCAACGTCGTCGAATGCCTCGTCAACCTGGTCAAGAATTACAACCGAACCGTCGTCTTCACTATCCACCAGCCACGCTCAAACATCGTCGCCCTCTTTGATCAGTTGATACTGCTTGCCAAGGGTAGGGCTGTCTATTCCGGACCCTTCGAGAACTGCCAAACCTATTTCGATGAGCTTGGCTACACCTGCCCACCCGGTTTCAACATTGCGGACTACATTGTAGACCTTACTATGCACGCAAGCACTGCACGTCAGCCTATCGACGAAGACAGCTCAATCTTCAACCGTGACCTCAACCGTGATGGTCTCACCACAAGCGCAAGTAGTGCCATTGCCGTCAAGTCTATCCCTAGTATCAATACGTCGGAGCTCGAAAGAGATATCGCCGGTAGCCCTAGCAATTCGAGCATCTTGCGACCCAAGAGCAAGAGAAGGACGTCCATCAAGCAGCAGCAAGAACGCGAACTATTCACAAGAAAGAAGAGCTCTGCTCCTGTTAACGATGGTGCAATGTCCCCCAAGACTGACGACGAGGCTCCTTACGATCGTCGAGGCGCTATCAAGGCTCAGTGGTTGAAGCTCACACGTCAAGGAGGTAGCGTGCCTCCCCAGATCCTCGAGGACCCAGATGAGCTCCCACCACCCGCCAACGGCGCCACCGGAACGAATCTGGATCTCTTGATCAATGCTTACGCTTCTTCCGACATCGCCGCTACAATCCGTCAAGACATTGCCACTTCGGTGACCAGCGCAAACCAAGCCAACGGCACTAACGGAGTGCACGAGCAGAACGGCTTCGTTGCAGCAGGCAAGTTGAAGGGTTTCAAGAAAGTTGGTCTCTTTGGCCAGTTCAGGATCTTGTCTCGACGAACTTGGCGCAATCTCTACCGTAACCCGATGCTCATGCTTACTCACTACGCTATTGCCATCGTCCTAGCAGTCTTCCTCGGCTTCCTCTTCTACGGTCTCACAGACGATATCAAGGGTTTCCAGAACCGCCTCGGTCTGTTCCTGTTCGTCTTGTCGCTCTTTGGCTTCAGCAGCTTGACCATTCTGACCGTATTCGCTCCTGAACGACTACTCTTCACCCGCGAGCGTGCCAAAGGCTACTACTCCCCGCCTGCCTACTTCGCCGCCAAGGTCATCTTCGACATCATTCCTCTCCGTCTGCTTCCTCCCATCATTCTCGGTATTATCGTGTACCCAATGACTGGCCTCATTCCTGCATGGCCCAACTTCCTCAAGTTCACGCTTTTCCTCGTTTTGTTCAACCTCGCAGCCGCAGCCATCTTCCTCTTCATTGGTATCGTGTTCCGCAACTCTGGCGTGGCCAACTTGATTGGTGTGCTAGTCATGCTATTCAGTCTTCTCTTCTCTGGCTTCTTCCTCAACAAAGAGAGTATTCCTGCCATAGCCAAATGGCTGCAATCGGCAAGTCGAAGATCTTCCTTCCTTTTGATAGCGCACCTATACTAACAGCATTCAGTTGTCAATCTTCCACTACGCGTTCGAGGGCCTCATTGTTAACGAAGTCAAATACCTTTCTCTTATTGATCACAAGTACGGCCTTGATATCGAGGTGCCTGGCTCTGCCATCCTCAGCTCTTTTGGTTTCAACACACAAGCGCTATGGAAGGACTGTATCGGTCTGGGTGTGTTTGGTGGTGCATTTGTGCTGCTTGCGTACCTAGCCATGCATTTGCTGCTTGTGGAGAAGCGGTAATGGGGGGAAATCTGCTGGGGTGTACCTCGTGTTCAGTGTCTTTGTTAGTACATTTCATATCTATCGTGGAGGTGCATAGATCCTGTTTTGCATATGCGGCGTTTGGTCAATGGGACCTTTTCCTTACGATGCGAGAGGCTCTGATATCTTACTACATGCAATCTTGTCGACCAAGGCTGGCCTTGAGCTTGATCAGTACGGCCAACTGAACCGTGATGAGTAATGTGCATGCATGCGTATGTCTATTTTGCTATTTGTCATATTGTGCCGTTTCTAGTTCTTGCTCTTACAATGGCCCACACAACGAATCACTGCAATCTTCACTCTCCAACAACCTTTCCGTCTTCCTTCCCACCTTCAATAGCCGCTCCGCCCTTGAACTTGAATCTCTTCAATCCCCGCACACCTACGTGTATCTTGAAACAGCTGCCCGCGTGCTCGTCAACAGGGCCTCCGTTCTCTCCACTCGTGCCACCGGAGCTAGTAATGAAGAGCTCTTCGCCAACGAAGCAAGGGCATGTTGGCTGGCTAGTAGGCACCTTGATCTCGGCAACGATCTCACCTTGAGGCGAGATACGTAGTACATGCCATCCACCATGAAGAGCAGTCCACATGTAGCCCTCCTCATCAATGCAGTGACCATCAGGCACGGCATCCTTACCATACCGGTTGTCCTCCGGCATGGTAAAGAAGGGGCGCTTGTTACTGATCTCACCCGTCTTTGGGTCGAAATTGAACTGGAAGATAGTTTTCGTTGGACTGTCAGCAAAGAACATGGTATCGTCGTTCTTGTTCCATGTCGTGCCATTCGGAATCGTGATATCGCTCATGGGTCGATCAAGACTCAGATCGGGGTTGAGACGGAAAACTGCACCGTCCTCTCTCCACTTGGAGACCATGGGATCGAACATGAAGCCCGCCCAGAAGCGGCCTGCTGAATCAACAGCGCCGTCGTTGCCG